ATATAATATTTAATATAAAAAAGAAGAGAAAAAAGAAAGAAACTACCGCGCAAAACAGAGTCCTGGACACCTCGGTTCAATCCTTCGAGTTCCTCGTGACCATAGATAGCTGCAACCTTATTGTATAATTTTGTCTTTACGATACACATTATTATATACTATATATTATAAATACAAATTATTTAGTCATTTGTTGACGAATAGACGGACGGACGTGGACGTAATTGTAAAAGAAAACAATGAAAAGATAAAATTTGTCGATGAATCGTGAGGGAACGGAGAAAGAGCCGAGGGGAAACTGTGTGAGAAAGACTCCTTCAAGGCCTCCCTGAAAATCCCTCCTTTATTTTTGATTTTCGATGTCTTCGTGGGGAGAAGGAGGGAGGGGGAGGAGGGGTGGGGGTCATATGTGATACTTTACCCAATTCCCACTTCCGCTCTGGTCGTGCTACTGAAAAATGTTATCTAAACAAAGAGATCGCGTTCATTGTATTTTGGCGAACAAAATCCCACGTAATTCCACTCGTATCAATGAAAATTAATGTCACGAACTATGCCTATGTATGTGTATATGTATACGTATATATACATCTGCAGAGTATCTTCTTTAAAAAGGGTTGCTACTCTCTCTTTCTCTCTCTCTCTCTCTCTCTCTCTTAACTAACTTCTTCAGTTTCGATGATACAAAAGAAAAAGAAAACAACATATTTTCTATGCAATTTTCAAAGATAAAACACGACGAATACCCTGCTAAAAATATTTATATTCTATGTTCATTTTTTAATCGAGATTTTCAAGAATATTATTGATATTGAAATAATGAATCACGTTTAGATATGTTTAAGAAAAAAAAAAGATTAATATAATATACGTATGTATAAAAATATATTGGTGCTGTAAACCGCGTTTAGTTTGTCCATATCGTTGCAAATTGCATAGAAAATATTTTCAGAATGAAAAATTTCATTTGGATATTCTTGTTTGTGTATATGCGTACATATGTGTAAGGATAAATTAATGAATTAAGAAAGACTCGTTGTCAAGATATTATCATGGAATTCGCGAACACATTCGAGAAAGGAGGATTGATAATTACGAGAGACTCTCTTATCGTTAGATTTTAATCAAGATCGTGTCAATTACAGTGGAGAACAATTAGATTTATTCTTTTCTTTAGTATTTTTATTTCTTTTGTATGGTAATAAGTTTTTACGTAAGAATTATTTAAGTATTTGTGTGTATTACACATATTTTAACTTCTAGGTATAGATATTGGAATAATGCGTCCGTATAAAAATGAGTTTCTCTCGTAATTATCATATAGTATCTGTCTAAGTTGCGTTAGTTTGAATTCAACAAATCTCTGTCTATTCGCTTATGCTTATATCCGAGATTTTCCAAAGACACTTATAAATAATTCTTTACGCACAATTAAAAATTGCGTTGACAAATATGACGCGTATAAAAAGAAAATCTGTTAAATTTTTCAAATCATAAGCGCATGAAATATCTGTAGGAATAAGAATTTAAAGAACAAGAACGTAAAAACGTGGATTAATCGTTTAAATATCTATGCGAAAAGAATAGGCGTAGATATTCGGCGAAAGAGAAAAAATAAAAATAAAAAGAAAAAAAAAAAAAAAAAGAGCATATTTTCTGAATTATGCAAAATGCAACAACGAATGAATACTGCGATTTGAATGATTCTCTTATTCTCTTGTCTGATGAGCCTTCATTTTGAAAAATCCACACTGCTAGACTTACAATTAGTCTAATATCAGTGTCTCTGGTAAATCAGGCCTACGAAGGTCGCAAGGAAAAGCGGCATTCTCAATGTTATTATATTTTCTTCGACACATAATTACTTACCTTTTCTTCTTACACGCAAATAAAAAACGCGCGCGCGTTACAGTCAAAGAAAAAAAATATATAAAGAAAGAGAGATAAAAAAAAAAGAAAAAAGAAAAAAAAAAAGAACAAAAAACATATATAAAAATAATACGATATTAATTGTTTATTTATTCTCCACTATCTTCTTACAACAGCTTCCCTTTGTCGCGAATAGAATTCTTATCTGGAACGATGTGAGGTATTTTAGGTAACCATTATTTGTATGCATAAAATATAATTTACTGCGTCCGAGAAATAATAATAAATAAAATAAAATGAAAAAGAATGGGGGGGGGAGGAGGGGAAAAAGAAAAAGATACAATATAAAAAAAACACAAGTTGAGATATCGCGGAAAGAATTGATACAAGTTAGTGCTTTGAGTAACGAATGAGAGAAAAAAAAATAAAATAAAGTAAAATATAATAAGCAGATACTACCTCTTTTTTTACGATTAAACGAAACTATAAGCGAAGAGAAAAAAAAAAGAAAAAAAAAAAAAAGAGAAAACGCAAAGAAAAGAAAAGGAAGTGAAAACGAAAAAGCAAGTAAAAGAAAAAATAATATTATTAGTTTATTAATAATATATGCGTTGAGAATATTTGTCGTACAATGTTTCGTTCGTTTTTACGCGCGTGATTTAAATGTTACTTTTTAAAATTAGAGTTAAGTAAATAAAATAGAGAGTGTTGTACTATTTTGGCCGGTAAATTAGAGACATTTTTTAAATATAGATGAAGATCGAAATTAATGCGTAAAAAATTTAAATCGTGCCCATAAAAGCGAACCTTATCACCGCTTTCTCGCGCTTGCACAACTACGTAGTTTGATAAGCGATAGATGGTATTGTACTTCCAACACGCTATTAACCTCTTTCACTTACAATCTAATGCCAAAGAAAACGAGTAACAATAAATCCATCTACAAGTCAAAATGTCAAATTTGATTTTTGTCTTATCATTTATCTTCTTTTTTCCTTTCTCAGGATAGAACGTGTTTTTTTTTTTTTTTTTTATAAATAAACATCGTTATCATAGATTTGAAATTTTATGCAGGTAATTATGTTCATTTAAAAAAGGTTTCTTTTTTTTAAGCTCTAGGTATTACAAAGGTTAGAGCAATTAGTCGTTCGAAAAATGGAAGAACCTGGTTCGAATTCCGGTCCCGTTTCAGTCAGTCAATTTTTCTAAACCATTAGAATTTTCCAATTCCAATCAAATTTAATGTTAATTATTATTGCATAGGATTAGTTGATTTGAAACAGTGATTAGTGTAATCGGTGTTGATATTTTTAGAAAACTTTACCGTTATGTAAACTAACTAATTAACAAATAATTACGAATACATTTGAAATGAGTTAAAGAAATAATTTACGTAAAGGTGGCGCATCGATAACTGTTTTTCATTTCTTTTTTTTTTTTTTTTCAAACGAATGAAAAGCGCTCTTACAAACTAGTAAAGTTTTTTAAATTAATTTTCTGTTTTTTTTTTTTTTAATAACTTTGAGACTGCGAATAATTCAATTGTATTTAACAATATGAAACACACGCACGCACACATACGCGCAGCAGAAAAGAAAGGCACTTTCTATTTCTTTATATTAATACTTTTAACTGATCGATTCTTCTGAACGTCGGAAAAAGTTAAAAGAACAAGCGAGTACACTGTTTTACTTTAGTAAACTACAAGAACATTGAAGTATTCAACGAAGGATTACTGTATATCACGATTAGACACGACTGAATGAAATTATAAAGACAACACGCTCACATATTTATATAATATAAATAAAAGTACATATATATATATATATATATATATATTGTATATAATTCCTTGCGCACAGCACCAACGATCGTCTATAAAATTGTCGACACACTGTAAAAGTATTTTATATTCAATTATTGACAGCATGAACATTATTTCAAGCTTCAGGCTTAAAAATCGAAGAGGTACGAAAAAAAAAAGAAAGGTTGTCCAAAAGGTACCTAACAGAACAAACCATAACACAATACACGTCTTTCGAATAAAAAGAGAAAGAAAGATAAATTAATACTTGTTTTAATCGATATGACAACGTTTTCGAAGATAAAAGAAATAAAAATAAGATGGAAGAGAACAACTGCGTACAGTCGAAGAAGAGAAAGACTACTGAGAGTGGGCTCGATCGTTCACCGAGCTGTTCTTTCCGTTGATAGTGGAAGGAAACGAGAAGGAAGCGAGACGACAGGTGACTGGTGGATAAGCCCGCCATGCGCAACGCCTTCGGCCACAATCGGCCGGGGTCGGCCGGCTTCGTCGTTCTCTGGTGGGGCAAGCAGTGTATCCGTGACGTCACATAATTAGAGTAAATACAAAGTAGTCTTGATGGGACAGCGGCGTGCGCCGCACCGTGAGTCGCTGGTCCGCGCGCGTCAAACCTATATCGTCTCGATACACGACACCCGTGTGTGTGGCTTACCTTAGTGTATATATATTATATATATATATATACATATATATATACATACATATATATATATATTTAAATACATATATACATATATATATATACATAAATATATATATATATATATTTATATATATACACTTATATATATATGTATATATAATTCGCGTTATGTGTCGACAGTGTGTGTTTGTTCTTAAGGATCCTAGATGACTGTGAGAACAGTGAGTGACGTACGCGAAACTAAGAAATGGATAAGATAGAGGTGAGTGAAAAAGATAATCTTCACTGAGGGAAATACTGTGTAAATTGTAAACGCGTGCGCGCGATCTTTATATATCTATCTTTCGCGCGCTCTCTCTCTTTTTCTCCCTCCCACCCTCTCTCTCTCTCTCTGTATCTTTATCTCTCTCCCCGTGTATATACTATGTGTACTTTTCTATATACTATTCTGTCTATGTATGTATGCGAGCGTTATGTACATTTGTTTTGTTATATTTCTCACGTTTCTAGAGGTGAAATTATTTTTTATTAATTTAGTCTTGTTTATCTTTTTTTTTCTTTTTAATCATTTTCTCTTTATTTTTCCATTTTCCCGCTCTCTCTCTCTCTCTCTCCATCTGTCTGTCTATTTCTCGTTAAAGTAATCCTCTCATATTTCTTCCATTTTGTATTTTTCTTTTCTAATTCTCTCTCTCTCTCTCTCTCTCTTTCCTTCTTTTCTCGGTTCGTATTCGCTTATTTTAATCCATCCAACGCGAGACGCGAGATATACTCGCCTCGTCGTACTACTCTTTCGACCGTAATGCAGAAGTGACAGCGTTGCGATGTGTGTTCGTGGAAGGGGTAAAGGAAAGAGTGGAGGGGAGACGATGGTGTGTTAGACATCTGGCAACGAATGCCATTGTGTGTATCTTCAATGTGCGATACTATTAAACGGACTGGTTACTTTTCTCTCTCTCTCTCTCTCTCTTTCTCTCTCTTTCTCACTTCCTACCACGTTCTTTTCACATCGTTTCATCCTCCTCACTTTCGTATTTATCCCCATCGTTCTCCTCGTGTTCTCCCTTTCGCTCTTTTGGCTTCGCGAATTCATCCTTATCTCTGTCACTCTCTCTTTCTCTCTTTTTCCATATTTCTCTCTCTCTCTTTCTTTCTCTCTCTTTTTCTCTCTCTCTCTCTCTTTCCATCTTTCTCCGTGTCTATCGTTTCTCTCGCACTCGCTTATTCGTGCTTCGTACTTATTCACTTTCTCTCTCTTTCTTTTTCTTCTTTTCTCTTTTCCACTCGTTTCATCTCGCTTCTTTCTATCTCATTCGCTCTACAGTCACAGAGATATTTATAGATGTGCCTTAACCCGATTTAACACAGCCACCTCTACGCGTATTGTCTTAACGACGATTTAACGAGAAACTGTTCTATTTTTTTCTTTTTCTTTATATTATATTATTTTATTTTATTTTATTTTTCTTGTCTATTTTTTTTTATATTTTTCATTGTACATATTTTTTTCCTACGTCGTTAAATATTCTTATCGGTCTAATAGATTACACATACACATATATGTTTATTCATTTACAGTATCGGACAAAAAATATTCCCAGAGATTACATTTTGCCTGCAATAATTTCTTTTTGTAAATCTCTTTTAGAAAAATTACAATTCTTTATTTGAATATTTTTTAACGAAATATATTCCATTATGTGATTAAATATAATCCATGTAGAATAAATTTCGTTCTCAGGGAAACAAGCGTTTATGCATTATTCATTAGATTGTTTTCCTTTTTTTTTTTTTTTTTTTTTTTTTTTTTTTTTATATCTTTTATTTGTATTATGCTTCTATTTTAATCTCCGTGGCTTGCAACGTACTTAAATTTTAGACTCAAGAGATTATTATTTTGAGGCGAAAAAAAAAAAAAAGAAAAACCAATAAATTAATAATGAATCATACTTTTACAAATTTACAAATTTAATATTGCAAGGGAATTTTGTCAGTTTCGATACTTTTGTTTTTAAGCTGCATTTATTTGTTTGTACACATGCCCAATAATAAAAAAAAAAAAATATGGCAACGGAATAAAGAAACAAAGATAGAACGAAAATAGATAAGTAGGTGAAAAAATAAATCAAGAAAAAGTAAACAATTGAGAAAAAAGATTGAAAGAAAGTAAAAAATAAAATAGAAAGAAAAAGAAAAGGAAAGAAGGAAAAGTTATTTGTGCACACACATATATCCGAATTTGAATCGATAAGTGAGATCCTATTGTTATATTACGACCAAAGAAAGATTATCTCTTGACACGCGATGCAAAATCGTGCCAGTTTAGTTACTTTCGGACATGCTGCTGCTTCAAGGATGACTTTGGCTGGGGCGTGAAAAGAGAGACGATTTTTAAAAATATTTCACGAAAGAAACATAAAGTCAACCGGTCCCGTAATCGACGCATCATATTATTTTCCTCCATTTTATTTTATTTTATTTTATTTTATTTTATTTTATTTTATTTTATTTTACTTTATTTTATTTTACTTTACTTTACTTTACTTTACTTTACTTTACTTTACTTTACTTTATTTTATTTTATTTTATATTTTATTTTACTTTACTTTATTTTATATTATTTTTATTTTTATTTTAAATTGTTTTTTTTTCTCTATTCATCTAAACTTTATCTCTTTTTCATTCTCTTATACGTATTTCTCTCACATATTCGAAATATAATGCTAATACATATATAGATATACTATTTAGAAACGAACGATTCAGTCGACATTTTGGATCCATGATTATTATCGTTCTATACACAGAGACCACCGAGTCGACTCGGAGTCGAGTATTACGAGTATATCCATTGGTGGAAGTTTGGTTATATTTTTTTCCATCTCTTTTTCTTTTCTTTTTTCTTTTTTCGTGTTATCCCTTTCCCCCCGTCACCCTCCTCTTTTTTCGTTTAACTTGTCTCTAGTGGCGTTACCCCCACTACCTGTGCATCAACCCACGCCATTTCACCTCCCTCTCTCTCTCTCTCTCTCTCTCTCTCTCCCCCTAAATCTCCCACCCTCTTTCTCTTTCTCTTTTTCTTTTACTCTTTTCTACCAATGTCGTTTGGCGAATTGAAAGTGTTGAGAATTAAATCGATAATGCGAGGTCGCGAGTCACGGTGAGTAATTATCGTATCACGAATGAAACGAGAAGTGTCAGTTTTTTGTTATCTTAACACGACAGACTGTACATGTAATAGGCACAATGTATTATCTCTCTCTCTCTCTCCCTCCTCTTTCCTTCTCTTCCTCTCTCTTTCATTTTTTCTCTCTGTCTTTCATTTATTCGTTTTCTTTCTGTGGGACACTTCATCCTTCTCTACTATTTCATCTCTCTCTTTCTTTCTATCTTTATATCTTTATCTTCCTCATTCTCTTTCTACTTCACTATCTCTTTCTCTCTCTCTCTCTCTCTCTATATATATATATATATATATCTCTTTCTTTCACTCCCTTTTCCCTCTTCCTCTTCTTCCCTTCCTCCTCCCTCCATCCTCCTCACGCTGAGTCGTTTGAGAACGAAAAAGAAACGAGTGTGAGAGAGATAGATAGAAAAAGCAGTGAGAGAGTAAAGGAGAGAAGAAGAGTCTTGGTTGTTCCGCAGACGTTATTGCTCTCGACTAGAGATTCTAAGGATTCTCTCTCTGTTTTCCTTTACAAAAGTATACGAGTCGCATCGTCGAATCATCCATGTCCGTTCAACGAATCGTATTTCCTTTTTTTTTTCTCTTCATTCTTTTTCTTTTCTTCCAGTTTTTGTTTTTCTTTTTCTATTTCTTTTTCATTTTATTTCATTTGTTCTTTTAATTTATTTCATTTTATTTAATTATATATTATTTTGTTTTTTCATTCTCTTACTGTTTCTAACTAGGTGGCCGTTTTATTGTTAATCATTTTTCTTCCTCTTCTTCTTATTCTTTTTATTTTTCTTCATCTTCATATCTCACGTTACGAATAAATTTCTTTTCTTTTTTCACCACCACCCGGCCCCACCTCGAAGGATCTTAATAATTTTACCTCGAATTTAATTTTCTCGACTCTAGAATGGGGAATGATAAATTGTTAATTTTTTAATTAATACATATTATTGTGTAATTATCATTGTTATTATTTATTAAATTATTAACTTCGAAAATACGTCGAAGTATTTTTATTTATGTTAACGAAAAAAAAAAAAAGAAAAAGAAAGACGATAAACGTTTATCGCTCGACGAACAAAAATATTGAAATAACTTTTAAACGTTTAAAGAAGTGAAAAGCAAAAAAGAATATTAAATATTGAATAAAAAAAAAAAAAAAATAACCGATTTTTTAATTCGTAAAGTAATAACGTTATTGGAGATGATAAAAACGTGCTTTAAAAAGAAATTAGAAATCATTTTGAGATGATTTTGTTCGTGTCATAGTACGTAGTAGTTGTCATCGTTTGCGTTGTGTTGAACGATGGAACGCGCGAGCGCTCACACTAAGGTTAGGTTTGTTATGAAAACATGTAAATACTTAAGTAGGAGACGTTATCGTTGTCGTCGTCAATTGCCGACTTGTAATGTGACTACGTGCTGCTTAACATTAACGTACAATTGAAGTTTAATGTGTATGCAAGAATATATTTAATTAGTATTGCAATGTATGCATGTGCCTGCGCGCGCGCGTACATCTTTTTATATATTTATTTAATTATTATTATTATAAAAAAGGATTATATAGTTAAAACGTCACATATTTAGCTATTTTATATTACTTGTCGTTTTATTTCTATTCCTATAATATTATTTTTATTATTTGTCATGTTTATACAATTTTTTATTTCAAAAATGTATTACAAGTCTACACAATGAAAATTATAATGCAAGATAATCATGTTATATATATATATATATATATATCAATATATATAAATATAAACACACGCGCGCACGCGTAAACGCATATATATGCGAAGCGTAGTGAGTTGATCGTGACCGTGCAGAAATTAGAGACGCCTCTATGCGTATCGAATATTTTCTTTTATATAAATCTCTGCCTCTCTTTCTCTCTTTCTTTATTATATCGCTTTTAATTGTTTCTATTATAACGAGATTTGTTAACCTAAAAAAAAAAACAAAGAAAATGATTTTTTCATGTTTTTCAACGTTTCACCAACTCGTTCTTGACCTGATTATGCATGCGTTACACTTTTACCGTATTAATTACATTACCGTTATTATCATTAGTTATCATT